TCCAGACAGTCCTAATCGCATGCAGGAGCCTTTGGCAAATCAACCTGAACAGTCTCATGAAATTCAGTGCAAGCCTTGCACAATAACAGCCCCTGTCTGTAAATACTTTCCCTCTCCTCCTGTCGGCGGACATGCACACCCACGCACAGGTGAGCCCGGGCAAGTCCTTTCTCTGGAGAGATATACAGGGCTATTTGAGGGAGTTCATTTTCCAGTTCTCCTCTTGGTTTGCATCACATCACAGGCAGAGAAGCTCTGTCCGACAAGAATGGAGCTGAGCTGGCTCTCACCCCTCTTCAATGCCGGGGGAGTTCTGGGATTGATAGACAGCACGGTCTGTCTGCAGGATGCATGCCAACACGGCCTTTGAACAACCTTGTTGCACTTTTTGCTTCTGCCGCAATGGGCTACTGCTTGCATCCTTGCTCTTTGTCCAGACTTTTGCCAACTATGGAATGGGTTTAGTATTTATTGTGTGGTGAGCACCTTGACCACCAGAGAAGACTTCTGCTCTTTAGATTTGGGGGAACCAGGTGTAAAACTAGGACTAAAAGGATTGAGTTTCCTTTTTAATTTTTAGTGCAGAAGACCTGATGCAAGAGCAGCAAGAAAGACTATTTCTTAATTGACCCAAATATGAATCTATGGAAAAGTAAGAGAAGCCCCATGTTCTTATTTCAGTCATTCTAAACAATATTCTGAATAATGACCTATCATTTTTTTTTTACTACGTCCAGCCTTGCTCCACCTTCCTACCTCCAGACCAAGTATCCATTTAGATATTTTAAAAAGTCCTTCTGATTGTTCTGTGGGGCCCTTCTGTGCTGAGAATAAAACCTGCTGGGGAACAGACCCCACTACTTTGCAGAGTCGGCACTGGACCCAGAGCATGGGTAGCAACAAGTCCCCACCGCCTCTGGAGACGCCCCAGTTCCTGGGTGAGTGTTGGAACATAACAGCTCACTGCTGCCCTGGTCATCATCCCCCATGGAGACGGGGATGTGCAGTCAGAGCCTCGCTCCCTCTGGGGCTCCGTTTCTTCTCATGGCAACCACTTCGCCTGCCTCGAAACAGTCTGTTGCCTTTGGTAGGAGAGAAATGTGCACACTAGCCAAGGAAGTCGGTCTAGTGAGTCTCAGGTTTCTCCCCGGGGAGGGAGTTTCCTGAGATGTGTGATCAGAAAGCTGGCCCTCTGGTTGCTTGGTGCTCCGGGAGCATTCTATCCCTTGCCAGGAGCTCACCCTTCAGCATCCAGATCCCCCCACACACCCTTCCTCCTTCCCCTGGTGAACCTCAGCATTGCATCTCCATGTTGCACAGCACAGACCAGGTGATCTGGTCACTATAGAGATTTGTATATATATATAAAAAACTACTTTTGTGAGGATTTTGTATATTGTTTTTCTATTTGTTTTCTACAGCTTAAGGAGAGAGCTGGCAAACTGTGAATCTAATTTGACCTTGCTGCCAGCAGATATATTTTGGCTTCCTGATAAGAATCTATGTTACCAGGGCCAACATACTGCCCTCTGATCAGTATTGCATCCCAAACTCTCAGATTCCTCCAGCCCAACCTTCCATTCTTTTTTTAAAACAAATCCCTGGGCTTCTTTGCTATTATTTATAAAGAGCACAAGAACATGTATTTATAGTCCTGAATGCTATATGTTTAATATTGAGTTAGCCTTTAATAATGTTCTAGGTTTGTAGCTATTCTTCATACATCATAAAGAAGTCAGTGCAGACTGAATTCCTCTATTTAGTATCTGTAATTTTGCAGACAGATATTTTCTTATGGTATTTTCTATATAACCACATATGTAGAATTATAACCAATTATAACCAATTGCACAAGAAGTTTCTACAGCAATTTAGAGCTATCAGTTGTTTCCTGAGCGTACAGCCACATTTTAAAAATGTAAGGACCCAGTCCTTTGCGATGCAATGAACGAAAGAACCATAAAGAACAAGCAATCCCCTACATCCTGACTTAGCTGGTTAGGCTCTGCATCTTAACAATTCATCTTTGTAACTCAAGAGATGGTGCTGGCTTCTTATTTTTGACACCAGGCCTTGTTGTGCCAGCTAAGCATTCTAATTGTACTTTTCTCCAAGAAGATGCAAAATAAGATGATAATAGCGGGATCGTGTCTAAATCAGACTCTCCCATGCCTTCCTCCTGACTTGTTTGAAAACTGGCTTGGGAAAATTTGCATAGCAGAGATTGAGGGTTAGTGTGAGGAAGCACATCAGGACAAATTTGTCGCAGTTCATTCTTGCCAAGCAAATTGGTAATAAATGTCAAAGTGTTTTGTGTCCTCGGGTGACTAACCGTCCATGGAATTTCCCCAAGAGGCAAACCAATAGCAACTTCAAAGGCAAAGAGGGGCTTCCTCCTGTCAAACACACTTTCTGATACGGTGGTAGGGCTAGTATTTTGGCCACATTTTCAGACATAGTCAGTTACATAGAAAGTGTACTGGGATGTATTTGAACTTGCTCTTCATTAAGCAAACAGAAGTCCCCCTCAACTGGCAACGATTGTACCTGTGATATTCAAGTACAGATAGCTGTCAAAGCATGAAGTTCTTGTGTGTACACAGCAACACTTGGTTCACGCATGAAGAACAGTGCCTATGCACTTGTGTAGCTATAATGTAGGTATCTAGGTGTAATTTCAGTGAAATGGTGCGTAGATGTTAATTTAATTTAAATGTTAGTTTTGGCTGTTCATCTAACTGTAGTAGACTTGTTGATCGGTGTTTTGAAAACCCTTCTTTTCCTTCTTAGATACCTAGTGGTGAATGATTTCTCCTTTTCCTTAATGTGA